TGAGTAGGCCAACCAGGGCCAGAGCATTCGAGTGTCGGGATGAAATGAAATACTGCGGACAGGGGCATGGATTTGGCGGTTTTCAGCCCTTGGTCCCAGCTCCGTCAGAATTCACCCCCATCCACCGGGCCCAGGGCCGAGGGGGCCAGGCCTGCGGGGGGAGGAGGTGGCCTTCAGCAACGTGTCCCGTCCCATTCATCTTCCTCTCTCATCTGAAAGCCTCCAGCCCCCCCACAGTTCTGCAGTTATAGATGCGTCCCCGCGTGGGTCACGGGGAAGCCTTCCTTCCCCAGAGGCGGCTGAGGGCCACCCAGGTGACACCAGCCCACTGTCTGCGTTCCTGTCTTGCCTTCCCCTCCCCCAAGGGCTAAAAATAAAACGTAAACGAGTCAAGATGACTATGTTATGACGATAACATAGTTTATGCTTTTATACTAAGAAAGTAAAGCGGAAAATTGTGTAGAAGACGAAGTGGGCGGCTGCCCAAATTAGAATCCGGGCGGTCAGAGCACGGAGGAGATCGGCTCCGTGGCGTGGGCCTCGGGCTCATTCAGAAACAGCTCTGCGAGCCCCCCGCCCCCCGCCCCTCCACCCCACCCCGTTGCAAAGTCTCAGCATGTGAAGCGTCACTGTCTATGGGGGGGAGGGGGATGATCATAGCGTGGTGGTTGTGTCTCCCTCTTTTAAAGATGGGTCCTGAAATGGCAGGGGACTGAATGGTGTCTGGGGTCTGCTTCAGTAACACAGAGGTAGGAGACGCAGATGGGTGTGCATGTGGGAAACGGACCATGAGTTCACGGATGACAGGTTGGGTTCGTGATGGGTCTCTGGGTCTTCATTAGTTTAGTCTGTTCTCTCTACCTGTATATTTGAAGTTTTTCATCCCTTAGAAATATCTGTCGCCCGGCCGGTGTGGCTTGGTGGTTGAAGGTCAACCTATGAACCAAGAGGTCACGGTTTGATTCCCAGTCAGGGCACATGCCAGGGCACATGCCAGGGCACACCGTGGGGGGCGTGCAGGAGGCAGCCGATGGCTGTTTCTGTCTCTCCCTCTCTCTCTGTCTCTGAAATAAATAAACAGGTATTTTAAGGAAGGAAGGAAGGAAGGAAGGAAGGAAGGAAGGAAGGAAGGAAGGGAGGAAAGAGAAAGAAAGAACAAAAGAAAGAAAGGAAGAAAGGAAGGAAGAAAGGGGGAGAAACTGGAGGTTCCGGTTGCCGCCTGCCCAGGGCTTCTGGTGGGAGGAGCGCCATCCAGCCCTCAGGTCACCCCACTGCAGTCGCACAGCCCGGACAGACTTTCCTCTCTGGCTTTGCGTAGCTGCCTCCTGTTCCCTCTTCTCCATGAAGAACGGGAGCGATTTGCCACGAAAAGGAGGCTCACAGATTGGGATCATTTCCAGTTCTGCTCTCAGGGGCTGGTCACCAAGGCGGGTCCGTGGCTGTGCAGCCTGGCATTGCGGGCCTGCCCCTACCCATGGCGCTGCCAGGCCCACGTGTGGCCTTTGTGTTGTAAAGAAGGACGCCCCTGGTGGTTTCAAGCGGGGGAGGGTATGATTGCATGGGATTTTAGGAAGATTAATCACCCACAGATCATACCAGTTGGGGATGTCAAGGCACCGTGAGTGGTTGGGATAATATGATTATCATCATACTGTCTGATCGGAGAATATGATTTCGAAGGCACGGGCATTTGGAAGTGGTCATTTTCTTGCCAGACACAGCGTGCGGCCCTTCAGTAATGCCCACAGATCTGCCCAATCATTGGCCAAAGTGCCCTCCTGCCAGGAACCCTCCCACCTGGAGCCACAAACCTCCAGCCACAGGGAAGAGCAGTATCTGGCATGAGCAGGTGTCTGACGCCCTCTGGTGGCGGATAAGGGGAACTGCCGGAGCATTCCCCCATTTCCACGGATGGGGGACCACAGTCTTGTTGAGCTGAGGGCAGGTAAACGAAGGCCCGAGGTCCCCCCACGCTGAGCAAGGGGCAGAGTCCCCGAGGGTGTGTGTAGACGTGCTTGAGTCCGCTCTGTCTCCTTCCGGCCACTCGGCTTCCAAGTGACAGGCAGGCTAACGCTCACCGCGGGAACTCAGCCCTGCAGACACGGGTTCCTTTAGAATTCACTCGAAGGATTTCCATGGCCTGCAGCCTTTCTGCGGCCGCCGCCTGCCAAATGGTGGGTTGGAGGAAGTGCAGGCGTGAGGGCCCACAGAACCTGAGCTCCTATCCCGTGGTGGGGCCATAACCCAAAACCTATAACTTCTCGGTGCCTCAGTTGCTTCATCTGTAAACTGGAGAGGGGGAGAGACCCACGCCCCAGAGCGGCTGTGAGGACCAAGTTACAGACGTGTCTGAGGGCCCTGGCTCCCAGGCACTTCGAGGGGACTTACTCTACGTCGCTGTTGGTAGTGGCATGGGTGTGGCCAGGCAGACGTGGCGGTGGGTCCTAAGCAGTGAGGACAAAATTAGGGCCCGTGGGGTGACCACCTGAGCCCTCGGGTGAATGAGAATGAGAAATACCAAGAAGTGGCCGACAGCTCCGCCTGCGGGGCTGGGCCTGCCTCTGGGCGGCCCTGCTGTCTCCCTGAGGCCCCTGGGGAAGTTCACTGTGGCTCTGGGGTCCTTTGAAGAGGCAGGCTGTGCCCGTGTGATAACCAGACAGAACTTCTTCAACAAGTAGCAGCAACTTATTTTTATTGATCAGAGAGAGAGAGAGAAAGAGAGAGACAGAGACATCGTAGCAGCAGTTTATTTTTATCGATCAGAGAGAGAGAGAGAGAGAGAGAGAGAAATCAGTGATGAGAATCATTGATTAGCTGCCTCCTGCATGCCTCCTACTGGGGACCAAGCCTGCAACCCGGGCGTGTGCCCCTTCTGGTTCATGGGTCAATATACAACCATTGGGCCACACAGGCTGGGTCATATGTATCCCATGTTCCGCAGGCTTCCTGCTGTTTATGGAGCGTGTTTAATTCATGCATGTGTGATGCAGAACGCTCCTTCTCAGGGGGGACATTCCAGCCTGCATATTCGAAGACAGAGGAACACACTTGTATCAGTGGAGGGCACGGAGGGCAAGTGGGAGTGAGAACAGTATTATGCCAGCCGGGGAATCGGCGTTACGTTTCAGGGGCAGCTAGGAAGTGGCGGACACAGCCTAGACTCCGTCTTCTCTAGGCTGATGCTGCCATCTAGTGGCGAAGAGCCACAGGCGATCTGGGTGCCCTCTGCCCTCCACCCACTTGGAGGGACTTAGAATGACTGAGTCCAGCTAAGGAAACAGACTCCTGCCTAGGGGAGACCGCATGCAGGCCGCCCTCCTGGGACCCACCATCCCCGAGGCACAGAGAGGGCTCTGGGATACGCGTTGTGTGCCCCGCATCTAATCCCCAGCGTGCCGCAAGGCAGCTCTTCTTATCTCCGTGCTCCGCTGCTGGCTGATCCCAGCGGCTTCGCTGCTGTCCCAGGGTTCGCCTCCTGGTCTTTCTCTGGAACCTCGGTGGCCCCAGAGCCTGGGTTCAAAGGTCCCTCTATCATGTACGAGCTGTGTGGCCCCGAGGCAACTGACTAACCTCTCTGAGCTCTGTTCTTCCATTTATAACAAGAGTATGGTGACATGAACCTTGTCCGTGGTCATGAGTATTTTTGCTGGAGCTCAGGTACCTGGGAAGGGACGACTTGAAGAAAGACATTGCCTCAGGGCAGGTTAATAGGGGGCCGTGCCCCGTTCTGAGTGCGTCCGTCATACGCAGACAAAACAGAGGACCAACTAGACCACTTTCAGTCATAGCGAGGCCAAAGCACACACCCACATGCACTGGCCAGTGAGACGCTACGTAAAGATCCATGTCTGTTTCCTCGAGGTTTTATCAGCAAATCCCCCCTCGGAGGAAAGCACAGACTTCCCCTGAAGTGATTTTTCCTGTGTCACACACACAGCCCTCAGCTCCTCTGGTCCCTGCCCTGCCAGTGTTGTCTCGGCCACGGCCAGCAAATCAGGCTGCCCCATGAGGCCACTGTGGCCGTAGGTCCATGGCCAGGAAGGGACCAGAGCTGGGCCTGGGACCCGGGCCGGGCTAGCACCATCTTTTTAAGTCGGCAGGGAAGTCTGACTCCTGAGCCACTGTTGGAACAACAACAGACAGCAACGCTAAAATCTGCAACATCGAAATGAATACCTACCTAATCCGACATTCTCAGAGCACGCCATTATGTCAGCTTTGTTACTTGCTAAGTTTCATGCCCATAAACATCTCATCACATTTGGAAATAATTTGTGGCTTCAGTTTTTCTTCTGTCCGAGGATTCCTGAGTTTGCACAATGGGTGCTGAGAGATCGCCGCCAACCGTAAATTAAACAAATTACATAGTGCCAAATAAAGGAAAAAGCAAAATTATAGAAATTCTTTCAAAAATGTTTATGGCAGGAAAATGGTTTGGTGATAGACGTGTCTGTATTTTAATATGCTTCATGTGATGGGGGTGAAATTCTTGGAAAGTAAGTGTATGGGAGGCCCCACAAACATTTTGATTTTGATTGACCAATCAAAACATTACAGGATTCGCATAGCCGGTGTGGCTCAGTGGGTGAGCGTTGACTATGAACCAGGAGGTCACAGTTCAATTCCCAGTCAGGGCGCGTGCCCGGATTGTGGGCTCCATCCCCTGTCGGGGGCGTGCAGGAGACAGCCAATCAGTGATTCTCTCCTATCATTGATGTGTGTTTTTTTCTCTCTCTCTCCCTTCCTCTCCGAAATCAATAAAAATATATTTTAAAAATATTACAGGATACCTGCACAATACAGAGTGCTCCATGGGGTTTCCGAAAATTAGAAATGCGGGCTTTTCCCCTCTAGGATTTTAGGCTGATTCCTACAATGTGATTTGTATAATCAGACACCTCATCCTGTTGATGGGAGCCGTGTCCTTGCCCTTTGACTGTGTTGCTCATGGAACCCCCTGGGCTTTGTCATCTAACCTGTGTCCCCTGTTCTTTCCCCAGGAATCCTGTTCACCATGCTGGTGTTTGGACCTGCCTGCGGCTTCATCCTGGGCTCCTTCTGTACCAAAATCTACGTGGACGCTGTGTTCATCGATACAAGTAAGAGACACCCCTCGGTCTCCGAGCGCCGTCACAAGCCTCCCCCTTGCCTGGGCCTGGGGACGGAGCGGTCAGCCTGTGGTTCTGAGACCGTCCTAGCTGGGGGCAGCCCTACTGTGTGCACCTGGGTGGTGCCGCTGGCGGCCCGCCTGAGATCAGAAGGAAGGGGCACGAGTCGGGTTCAGGGGGCCTGGACTCACGTCCGTGCTCTGCCAGTATCTGCTGAGGCCGAGTAGCTCCCTGTGGTGGAGTTCACCCTCACCTGTAAATGAATGGCGACGGCGCCTGTAGCCTCCTCGCTGGGCTGTGGTGAGGAGTGAATGAGAAACTAGACGTGGAAACTCCAGGCATGCGTGAGTGCTCGTCGAATGCTGGTCCATGCACCTATGTGAGGACTGCACCTTTTTCTTTTCTCTTTTAAGAATATATTTCTATTGATTTTAGATGGAGAGGACTGGGGAGGGATAGAGCGATAGAAACATGGATGAGAGAGAGAGAGAGACATCGATCAGTTGCCTCCTGCACGCCCCCTACTAGGGACCAAGCCCACAACCCAGGCACGTGCCCTGACCAGGAATTGAACCAGGACCTCTTGGTTCGTGAGTCGATGCTCAGCCACTGAGCCACACCAGCTGGGCCAGCCGCAGTCTTTTTATAACCCTGTCTCCGAAGTGACATCTCCTTGCCTCTGCTGCATCCCGTGTGCGACAGGCAGAGAAGGGATGACTCTACACGGATGCGAATGCCAAGGGTGGGGACCGCTGGGGGCTGCCTGGTCACTGCCGGCCTGGGTGGCACCGCTCTACCTCAAGCCCGAGAGAGGGCGTTCTATTCCTGAGCAGTCCCACGAGTGTGGAGCCCCGTGGCCTTTCTCTCTGAAAACAGCGTGCGGGAAGCAATCCCACCTCCTACTGCCAATCTATCCCCGGATCAATAAGAACTCCCAGTCCCCGCGTTTTCCATCCATCATCGCTCGGCAGGGCCAAATCTACTGATTCGCCCCAAAGAAATAATGCGGCTTTAAATCCAATCAACATTGTGACTCACTCCATTAATCCCGCTGATATATTTACTTGTAGCTAATGATGTTACAAATTTCCAAGGGGAAAAGAAAAAGCAGCCTTACTTATTTATTCTTCGAAGGCCTGGGTCTAGGAAGGCTGCATTGGTGGAGTTGATTGGCCCTTTCAACCCTACTCCAAGGGGACGAGGGTCCGAGAAACAACACGAGAAGTGAGTCGGCTGCCATCTTACTTATCTGACAAAAAAAGCCAGCTTCTGCCACCTCACCAGAGGCCACACCAGCGGGGACAGTAGGCGGGTGGGGGAGGGTCGTCCTCCCAGTGTGAGGGGGGCTGCCCAGGAGGGGGAGCCGCATGGCCAGGCAGCGTCAGCCCTAGCATATGAGCAGCGGCCCCTTGAATCAAGGCCTGTGGATAAACACAGTCTTGGAACCAGAGGGAACCTCAGACGTCATTCTCTCCCAGCTCCTCCTTTGTGCAAATGAGGAAACTGAGGCCGAGAGAGGGGCAGGGACGTGCCGACCCGAGGGCTGGGTCTGTTTAAACCCAGGCGTCCTGCGTCGTCGGGGTGAGGGCATTTCCACTTCAGGAGGCCCATCCCCACGCTCCCCCTGGCCATGAGCTGGCATCTTAGTGCCTAGTAGCAAGGGCTGGCCAGCTGGCTGGAGGCAGCCTAGCTTGTCTGCTCCTGGTCCCCTCAGGGTGCCAGCCTTTGCCATGCTGTCCCTGCAGCCACATACACGTGCTGTCTCCACTTCATTTTGTCCATCATCTCACCCGTCGGGGCCCAGCGTGGTCCAGGCTCCGGGGCCCAGGCTCATGGGCAGCGTGGAGCCTCCCATGTCCGTCTTACTGACGACAGCCTCCCCCTAACAGGTTCACGGTGGGCCTGCCCGGCGTGTGTCAGGGATGGGAGTCACTCCCCGCCTTTGTCTGCTTCCCTCTGAAGGCCATGGGCCTGCGGTGCTGCTTCTCACCGGCAGAGGGCAGGAGAACACAGTGTATTGTGTTGGAGGCACAGCCAGGGAATTCTGGAGTGATTTTTCTTCTTCTCAGCCTGTGACTGGAAGGCACGCTGTCTCTGAATGGGTTGGGGCTGTGCTTTAAGGAAGGGCCCCCAGTTTTTTTAGGGATGATCCTCTATCGTTTCCTCACTAAGACCGAGCCCCCCATTAGGACTGTCTGGTCTGTGTGTCCTTAAGCGTGAGTATAAGGGGCCACACACCCAGCACATGCTCCTGAAATTCCCCTGAGAGCCAGCGGGATCGGGAAAGGCACGGCCTGGGGAGGTGCCAGCGACCCTCGGGGGCCCTGCTGGGGGCAGATGAAGGAGGGAACCTGCCTCCCTAGCACAACCTGGCAGCAGCTGCGGACACAGGGCGGCAGGGAGAGAACCCTAAGGATTCCTTCCTGCTGGACCAATTCGCCCGGGGGCAGGAAGCCTCTCTCTGCCTAGGGCCATCTGGGTATTTAGCACATCATTCGTGGGCCAATCACATTTATCGGCTTAAAAATCAGCGGCTCTATTTGGTCAGATTTACCTAACTCACCCCTGATGCCTGGGCAGGCCCAGACCTAATGATTTGGGCTCGCGGGCCGGACGTTCCCCACCCCTGAATTAGCTCCACAACCGGGACCCTGAGCGTTCCATGCTGCCCTCCAACTCAGCCCCTTCCTGTCTCCACTTCTAATTAGGTCGGTACCTTAATGACCTTCCCGGAGTTCTCGGGTCCCATAGCAAAATTCCACAAACTGGGTGAGACAAATAGGTAGATGGACTGAAAAAAAAGAAAAATCCCCAAACTACCCAGAGAGCCGTAGTGTCACTTGTTCATCAGGTTCGAGAAGTGGATGTCCCCCATTGGCCATGATCTGCCCTCCCACAGCCTCGGGGACCCTCCTGGGTTGCTGGGTTGGTTAGTTTCAAGCTGGTTCCACCCTATTCCAGTGGTTTTCTTCCGAACTTATGATGAAAACGGCCATGGGAAGTGGGAAGAAGTCTCACCCCCTGTGATTGCCCTTTGACTCCGGGGACACGCAGACAGCAGCCAAGAGCGTGCACAGCTTCTCGGACAAAACCACAAAAACACGCCGAAGGTCAGAGTCCGAGACGCAGGAGGGTTAGAGAATGGACAGGGTTAAGCAGGAACCCTCCCAGCTTATAGACCAATGCAAGGCCGGCCTGTGCTGTGCCTCCTGACAGACGGACATTTCCTGCCTCCTGACAGACGGGCATTTCCGGCGTGGTGACCCCTGCTGTCCCTGCTCCAGACCGCCCTCTGCCTGGAGTGGCCGAGGGCTGGACAGGCGGCTGGAGGGAGCCGACTTAGTCCGCTCACGGCACCCTGAGGATGCCATGCCTCGATTCTGGCCTCACCCCATTCTCTTGAACGTCTTTCTTCATCTGCGACTCCAGTTCCATTGGCATTTGGTACATCTAAGTAAAGGACACAGATGGGTGCTTTTCAGCGTCTCTGGGCATCTGACTGACAGTAGCCCTCGCCAGGAGGCTGGAGCTGTAGTAACGATTCAAGATCAAGACGCGAACTAGAATCAGATTGAAAGAGAAGTAAAGAGATTTTCCTGCCTTGCCCCCAAAGCACCTCAGACGGCACCGTTGCTCTCCCCCGCCTGCCCAGGACCGCTGTTCTTAAGGAGCATGGGTTTACCTTTGCTAAGCCTTCTGTATCAGTCAGCATAGGCCAGGTTCTGCTGCAGTAACACACACCCTCAGCAGCTCAGTGGCTTAGAATCCTGAAAGTTTACTTCTTGCTCGTGCTGTATACCCAGTGCAGGTCAGCAGGGACAGTTGTTCCCTGTAGCCTCTGGTACCACCTCAGGAGCTTTCACACGCTCCCATGACCAGAGGCACGGAGCATGGCGAGTGGCACGCCGGCTTATATGTACCTACCTCCCCTCAGAGGGGGCGTGACGTGTGCCCTCCCACCCCGCCTCTCAGATTTTACTGCCAAAACGATGGTGCAAGGCCACATCCTCCTTGTTTTCAGAAGAAAAGACCCAAATGTAGACCTTGGTGATGTTGGCTGCTCGCTAGCCGATATGGACGGTTCCACCTCCACGTCGGGAATGCTGGACAGTCACCTGCTGAGCGGGTGGAGGGAGTTCCACCATAAGGAGCTGGAACGCCTCCCAACAATACCCTTCATTGTGCAGATGGGGAGAGAAAGGCATCTTAGAAGACGTTTCTCAGACCAGGTCCGAGTGTCCGTGGTCTTCTTGGGAACCCCGATACCAGAACGAACCCCCCCCCCGGCAGCATGCACAAAGCCACTTGGTGGGGGTCAGAGCATGCCAGCGCCTGAATGCCTGCATCCTACCTTCCGCCCCATGAACTTGGGCTTGGTCCCTGACCTCCTGCGCCTTGCTCTCCCCAGCGGGGGACAATGGGGATCATAGAAGACTGTTGTGCAGGGCTGTCGGAAGGGCTGGCAGGCATGGTGAGGACACACGGTGCCTGAGCCGCAGCAGATGATGGTGGCATTTGCCTTGGTGCTGGCCACAGAGTCTGTGGGGGGG